TGCAAAAATATTTTTCATATATTCACATGCTACTCTATTTCATATTGTATATTTTTCCTCAATTTTTTACCTTGTAAATTTTTTACTATGAATTTTTATATACAAAAAGGGTAGTGAAGGTCCAAAAGTGCCAAAATTTGATTTTATTCTAAGGGGACAATAGTTGTGTTTTTTGGTCCCCTTTTGGCAAATTTCCCTTTTTTTTATGTAGAACGATAATCTCCTAATTGAGTTGAGTAAAATAATAACACACAACGGAAAAAAAAAACTAATGAAACAAAACAAAAACCCTAATAACAAAAGTGATAATCAATCAATCATTGGGTGGGTTTTGGTTTTGGTTTTGGATGATGAGCGACACCGAGCTCGTCTTCATATTGCACTTCTTGTCCACTCGCGTGAGATTCAAGACCTCCTCGACGCTTCCAGATGCTTTCCACTATCCAGACGCATATGATATAAAGAATAAATATAGAGATTAGAACGATTACGACGATCGTTCCAGTATCCATAATCGATGAAGGATATATTACTTTATTGCTTATTTCTTTGCCTTTCGCATCTACATGATTTGTATTTATAATTATCACTGCGACGATTTATTTAAATTAATCACATTAGGGTTAGGAATATTTTTCCTAGTTAAGATTAGTATTTATAATTTTAATTATATTTTATTTCAGGATTAAGACTCTTTGAAGTTTATCGTGTTAATTTATGAGCCCATTGTCAACATTTTTTTCTCTTGATATATCTTCTTTTTGATGAGCTTTCCATTACCAATGATCCGTTGGAGTTTCCACATAAACATATGCAATTAACAAAAAGAAATCCAAAAAATGTTCCTTCAGCTTCAAGTTTATACGTGATTTAAGCTAGAAGGTTTGATCATGAGCTTTTCAGAAAACTGAAGTCTATTAGACAAAAAAAATGTGAGTTTTTGATTAAATATGTATTTTAAGAATCAACTAGATCATGATCTGCACACTTGTGCGGATTTTATTTTTTGGATGTATTCTATATAATTTAGATTTATATAGTTTTGGGTTTGTCTAATTCTACTTTATATTTAAATAAAAATATCAAAACTATTTTTGTATTAATAGTGTTTAGGAGTGTATTACGTAGATATAACCGTACAGTGAAAACACTAATTATGTACGTTTGTTCGAAATGCAAAATTAAAGTTAAACTTAATTGTTTGCGTTTTGATGATTAATTGAGCATTTAGTTATATTTGATTAAACCTGAGACTTAATATTTGCTATTTGTTATCAGGTCTGGGTACGTTATGATCCGCTCTGAATAAACGGGAGGGTCCGGACATATAGTGATATTACGGATCCGGATAATGAAATTTAGGTCTGGATATCCAGATATGGATCCACTATACGTACAGTTTTAAAATATTTAAAATATAATTATATTTATAGATATATATTGTTTATAATTTTTCTAGAAAATATATAAATTTATTTTTTTTATTAAATTTCAATGATTTTGACCCGCACTTAAGAATGTTACAAATGTTTTATTAATCTGTAGGAATTTTGACTATTGAAAACATTTTAGATTCAAATCATCGTTTTTAATCCCGATTTGAACCCGCGGCCGAACTGGTAAACCCGGTGATTCGATATATCCCGGTTTGGATTTTAATAAATCTATTAATTAAAAATCCGATAAAATCCACAAAAATCGCGAAAATCTGAAATTAATCGTTTAAGCCGATATGAAATCCAAGTAAATTTATTTGATTCTTATTTTCTAATTTTTGTGAAGAAAACATAAGAATTATTTGTTAAAAATTGAAATTTTTATATGTAATTAATAAAAAAAAATTAAAAGTTTTAATTATAACCGAGATTTTCTGTTTAAAAAAATATATATACTAGGATATTCCTAAAGAATAAGAAGGTATATATCTAAATTAATTGTTATTTAATAGTTAAATGCGGATATATGACTAACTTCCTAAATGTGAAATTATTTTCTTATTAATTATAAGATACCGAAATATCATTAACTTCCTAAATAATATATATCCGCTAAATATCATATCGTAATAAGACTAACTAGACTTATAATATTACATTAATAATGTAAATTACCACTTAAAAATTTTATCTATCGAAGTTGTAATATTTATGTTTTAATAATATAGATTAACAACATAATAATTATCTCGATTAGTGTTAAATTAGGTTAAGAATTTATAATTTTGATTACGTTTAGGATTATGCTCTTATACGTGTTAATTTTTAAGCCCATTGTCCAACAATTTTTCTCCTGATACATCTTTGTATAGATGGGCTTTTCACTACCCATGATCCGCTGGAGTTTCAACAACACACATATCCAATAAGCTTTTCACCTTTCTTACAAAAGAAAATAAATCCAAAAAAGTTCCTTCAAGTATACGTGTTGATTAAAACTAATGTTTTGATGGTGAACTTTTTAACAAACCAAAAACTGTAAAAGTTAAGATAACTATCGAACAAAAAGATGTCAAGATTTTTATTATAAGATGTATAACATAGAGTTGTAAACAACATAATATCTCGATTGACAGGTGATTGAAATGTTTAAACCTGATCACAATATATGTGTATGCAGGTCATACATACGCAAGAGTTGTAACTTCTAGCTTAATGCCTCCAAAACACGAAGAAACGTAACGTTCAAAGAATTTGACACTTGGTGGTGAAAATTTGGCCAAACCCAACCATAATAAAATCAAGAAACCTTATCTCTTTGTGGCCTCATCAGACATCACATGTGGTGTGATAAAGCTGTTGTGGGGCATGACTCTTTTCACATACCAACGACTATTTTCTTTGTATGTCACAAGAACTTAAATAATTTTTGGACAAGTGAAAAAGTACATGAATGTATGTAAATAGCAAAAACTTATCGCCTGACATCATTATCAAAAACATTATCCGACCATATCCATTATTCGGTTGCTTTTATCCTTTTATTTTACCTTAGGTATGGACAGGACACCTTATTGTTTATATCAGATTTAAACTCGGATAATAGAACGTTGACAGAAATCTGATAGAAAGACACGATGACATCAAGATTAATAGTTAATCATTTCGGTATTTTGGCTTATATAAATATAGATTTACCATGTTTGCTTGTTATTTTTATGTTTGTTTACCCACTTTTACGATAAGACATACATGATTATCAATATGACATCTATGGAAAGTTGAACCAAGTTTCCATTCACATCATCTTTGGTTGGACAAGCCAGCATCAGTGGCGTTAGGCGCTAAAACAATTAAATATGAGATATAAATATTATATATTTATATATATGTACATGTAAATCTATGTAGTATTATATTACATAAAGATCATTATTAAATATTAGCGCATTCCTTTCTAATAGTGCCTTAAAGCTAAAATATAGGACACATGAGTAGACAAGTAGTGGTTGCTTAGTTTGTGTTGAGCTGTTATCTAGTGGATTAGAAATTGATAGCATCCATTCCACATCACGTATTATTAATTTTCTTATATGAAAACTCTATTTTCTTTTTAAACCAAACCTTGTGAAAAAGAATCAGCCAAAAGTATTGGCGCTTTTCGGAATAAAAGAAAATGAAAATAGACCTAAAATCTGAAAATAGGATCTGATGATTTCAACGACCTCCTTAAGAGTTGTGTGTTCTCTCTCAAACATTAAAACTGGGAGGATAGAAAAGCCAAAGCAAAAGGGAGAGAGACCCACAGATGATGTATACGTTGGGAGGAAAATAATGGCGCATCTCAATTATATTGGCATATAGGTCCATATAAGATGATGATGGTCCACTCTACATGATCGTCTTCCTACTGTTGCTTTTGTTAGGAGGTCGGTTGGATCTCTTATCTTTGAAAAGAACCCTCATCTTGACGATGAAGTAGTGGTCACATCTCTTACTCCTAAATTATTGTTTTCTATATTAATATACTCATTAGATTAAAAATAAATATTGGCAATTTCTTCTAAAGATAGTGTATATGTGTATACACACGAATACAAAACGAGAGGTATTCCAAAGACCTCAGACTTCAAATTTGTTCCAAATACCATAATTATGAAATTTGCCAAAGTCAACGAGGATATGTATGATTTCAGTTAACATGTCTGATTTTGATTTTATAAACCATAAACACAAAACAATTTAAACTAGAAACATATGTCAGCACTAAAGGTTTTTTTTTTCAATATACAGATTACTGAATTTTATATGAAAAGCATCATATATCTTGAGTTCTAGGATTTTGAGCAAAAAACAACTCTATTTAGATCACTAGACTAAGAACTTTGTAGAACTGAAAAGGCTTGATAATTCTCAAGGTCAGAAACCTATTCCTCCAGAGCTTGTACCATGGAGAAAATGTTAGAAGAAACTTACTCAACCTAGTACTTTAAAGATGTAGAAAAAGGTATGGATTAGGTCAACAAATTAAAGTTCAGCAAGTGTTTGTTAGTCTTCAGTCATGGAGAGATTAGGAAACAACAAATGAATGAAACCTGTTCTTCCATAGCTTGTTAGAAGGAACTTACTCAACCTAGTACTTTAAAGATGTGGAAAATGGTATTAATTAGGACAACAAATTAAAGTTAAGCAAGTGTTTGTTAATCTCCAATCATGGAGAGATTAGGAATCAACAAATGCATGAAACTATCTAAACTTCACTCCCTCCAGGTAAGGAAGACGAGTCTCTACCATTCTCTGAGTCCCTGACACCTTTTTACATCTTATATCTCGATTTGTTTAGTATATTTAATTTCATGTTGTGCTGGTTTCCATTTATCGACCCAAAGATTCTTTACCTTCCAAATTATTTCTTTGTACCTTTCCACAGTTACCCCCACTCGTTTCAGGAAATTTCATTAATTACCTTCAGTTACTTTACCTGTTTAAGGAAAAATAAACTTGTCCTTGATTAACTTTGAATATTTTTTACGTTTTCTAGCTTCAAAGTTAACCCTTAATGGTTTCAGGAATCTCCTTACGAAATCTTAGATCTCTCTGATTCACAATCTCCTCTAAAATCTCTACTGTCATGGTACTTTTGGACTCTAAAAATCTTTTATATTCAGCTTCTTCTTGCCTCACATAACGTATCAAGGTCAAATACTGATTTTTTCTTACAGCAGTCCTATTTCTTTCCTTTATGTTCAAAGTCCACAAAACCCAAAGTTGAATGTAACTATTAACGGTTAGCTTAAGTCATGTTCTTCTCCCCCATCGTACGATACCTGAAAAACACGTAAACAAACAAAAAAACAGATCAACCGTTCACAAAAAAAAAAACGCAATTAACCAAACTAAAATAAAAATAAAAATAAACGATACATACCTCACACGACGAACAACACATACCTGGAAATCATAACGGAACACACAACGTGACACACGACGACGGTTAACGGCAAACGGAACGGGTCAACGGTATTGGAGAAAGTTGACGGAACAGACTAACGGTGAAGGCAAACGATGCAAAACTCAGAATATTAATCACAAGTCCCTCGTTTCATAACCAGATTTTAATTACCCAATTTTTACACTACTGTTCTGTTTTTTTTTTGGTTCTGTTCTAGATGTTTTCGGCTTATGGAAATATTCTGTTCTTCAATATCATATGACTATGAGTACTATTGTACAAATCTCATCTCCCACCCAACAAAACATTAACTTATCACGGCGTCGTTTCGGTCTCCATTTTACATAACTCCATTTAACACTCCTCGACCCGACCCGACCCGTCCGCGCAGATCCGCTCGCTCGCCTCGGATCCATATTCCTGTGTCGGATTCAGAAACAAGAACAAACCTGATCAAACATCCTCGGCTTTCGACATCACCGATAACCTACTAGGCCTCGGCTGATAAGCAGACCTCCTTTTCAGCTGATGCGACGAAGGCCTTATCANTCCATTTAACACTCCTCGACCCGACCCGACCCGTCCGCGCAGATCCGCTCGCTCGCCTCGGATCCATATTCCTGTGTCGGATTCAGAAACAAGAACAAACCTGATCAAACATCCTCGGCTTTCGACATCACCGATAACCTACTAGGCCTCGGCTGATAAGCAGACCTCCTTTTCAGCTGATGCGACGAAGGCCTTATCAACGTCGTCAACGCTCTTCTCACCCACTCACCTTCAACACCACCGATCCTCACAAGCGAATTCGTCATCGCAGATCTCCTCATATTCAAACCGTTACTCGAATACGACGTCGTTCCCGCGCCTTGTCCGTGCGGATTCGCCACGTTCTTGTGCAGACTACACCTGAACGAGCCTGGATGAGTCGTCGGCGAACACATACACCTCCTCCTCGAATCGGGGATCTTGTTACCGCTAGGCTGCTTCGAAACGGCGACGGATTGGTTCGGGGACACGGATCTGTTATCTATCGAGTAACGAAACGACGGCGTAGTTGCGAATAAGTTCACACGTGTGGGAGACGCGGATCTGTGGTGAGGCTGTTGTTGTTGTTGTTGACGGTTGGAGGTGAAAAAGGATGTAGACGAGAAACTCGAGCTTGTGGAGGAAGCGAAGCCTGACGACGAGCCGCCGTAGAAACGACCGGACGGTGATACAGAGCGTAGCACCGGTCCGCTTGATCTCGTTCTTGAAGAATTAATCACCATTTTTTAATTTTTTTTTTGGAGAAATTTAAAAGAGATTTCTTGGAGAAGAAGAAGAAGACAAGAAAGGATGATTTTGAAGCTTTTTTGTTTTCTTAGGAGTCCCCGGAGGGTAGTTGGTTCGGCAAACCTAGCGAGTCTCGGAAGGGGAATTTATAGCTGAGGACGATGAGTGGCGTTTGTGTAATTATTGTGAAGTTTGTGACCTTTTTTGTATTTTTGCGAAGCTTGATGTATAGGGTTAATTGACTTAACCATGGTTTGGGGTTTTCTATTTTTATTTTAACAACTTGCCCGGTTATTGCCGTCTCGGAAAAGAACTGGATTCTGATCCGACGGCTGAGATTTGAGATGATTCAGCTGAGTGTTTTTGTGGGCACTTGCATTGGCTGCCACGTAATCGGATTCGAGAAAAGGTCAGCTTGGGATTTACGAAAGTATCCTTTAGAAAGATATGAAGGAAACTACGTAACTGCCATTGTCCTCTATTCGCAAGGGCCAAGTTTTCGTTTTCATTTTGCCCCAAGCAGTCCCACAAAGACAACCTTTTCTTGAAGCTGATAGTTTTTTTTATTTTTTTCTATAATTATCTTCTTGCAATTTATTACTTAATGTAATGGTTCTGGTTGATAAAAAATATATTTTTAAAAATTGTTGTATTTCCATATGCGGAGTCTTGATTTATATTCCTGGTTGTTTATGTTTAGATGAACAAAAATAAAACAAAATTAGCTATTTCGTATTTTGTTGCACCAAAACAAGATCCAACATTCTACAACACCTGTCGCAAATCATTAACTCCCTCCCACCACAATATAGAGCGTGTGACATATGTATAAACTTGCTTCCAAAACCCGCCCATGGTTTCTTTGAACTAACTGTGGATGTAGTATCTATGTTTGGTATGGAAATTCAAAAAAAAAAAAAAACATAGAGAGTGATTTTCCTCCAGAAAAATCATAGAATTTTAGAATCAACTTCGAGATGCAAAGTCTCACCGATAATAATCTTATCTTCAAAGTCAAGATTATTAGGTTGAATGTATGGCTTATAAAATGCATGTGCTAAAAAAAGCTCAATTGAGTTCTAGGATCAGTAGGGGATATATTTTCGGTTACTAAACACGTCTATAATTTGATCGTAAGAACTATAAAAGTGATAATACTCAGCGTACAATAATTAGAACCTTCTTCGTTGGCATTCTTAGTTTTTAATGGTAAAATGTAGGTGTTTCCCTTTGACAGTGGTGTCTCCCAAAATTATAAACCCTAAAAAGTAATACCAACTAGGCATCCCTTGCCCAGCCCAACAAAGAAGAAGTCGTATCCAGCATAAAAAAAGATGCGAGAAAGTTGACAATCCGTGACCATGATAAACTCAGCTTAAAAATATTCTAACAAACTACTAAAGTAGGATTATTAATAATTAATTAAAGAGACCGGATTTCTAGAATTTAACCTCGATCCAAACTTATATTTTGGTCTTCGAAATATTGCCGTAGTCCGTGGATTTCCTTCTTGGTTGACGGACCATACCATCTACGTGCTTATATAATATTATACTACATTGTTTCCAGCGGTTTACGTTGGCATATAAGTAGTCCCCATAACACAAAACCAAAAGCATAATATGTAGCATTTTGTTATTATATACTATGTTTATGAAAATATCTTTTATGAGGCCTCCTTCTAAGCTCGTTAAGTACTTTTAAAAGGAAACTTGTAATAATTACTCCTCACTTTTTTTTTGGGTCAAATACTCATCACTTTCTTAGTAATGTTGTTTACATAATATTAAATGTAAAATTAATACTACTAAGTTTAAGGGAGAGAGAGAGAGAGAGAGTTGAATGAGCACATGTTGGTGATAACTGATATGAATGATAATGTTCCCAGCTGTGAGGGAGCGTGACTCTAACACCACTATGTGTCAGCCTGTCAGGTTTTAGGTCGTAATCTTCTTTACCAAAATCTATGGGATAAATCCACTTACACTCTTTTTTGCTTTTTAACCGCCTATCCTTTCTAGGAATTTCTCATTTAGAAAGATCCATATATATTTTCATTATTTGTTCGAGGTAATCTCAGATGAAAAATAAATTTAGATGACGACAAATTCGTTGTTTAAATTTAAAAGACTTTCTTTTAATTATGTATTTTAAAACTGTGTTCACCAATAATTAGTTAAACCAATAGAAACAATGTTGTCCTTAGATGGCACAAATGTTTGTTGAAACAAAAAGCAGTAGTCTGGTCTTAGTTATTTGTATACACATTTTGATAGCGAATTATATAGCAATGATACTAATTTTGCAGTTTTTTATGTCCGGTTGGCACATTATTGCCTATGAGATTATTTAAGTTATACCCAAAAGATAAATTTATCATTGCTTTATGCTTATGTTAGTTAGGTTGGAAGGTGAGCAGACCTAAATTGATGCTGATTTACGTAACAAACATCTGTAAGTTAGCTAGACTAAGAATAAGATAATTAATTGGCTATTACAGAATCTATTTATATAAGTATCAGTAAATTTATATGTGACAGTTAGACCAATGCCGGTTTTTAAAATAAGATGGATACACTACAAGAAAACAGGTCTTTAGCGACTACAGTATTGGTAGTAAATTGGTTGTAAAAGCACATTTACGACTAACTTACATCTAAATGTGATTAGTCGTTATACGTTAGTCGTAATTCACTTTTCGACGCGCATTGGTCGTAAATGTACGACAATTGATGTTAGTCGTAAATTAGTAGTAAAAGCTGTAGTCGTAAAAGTGACGTAAGACATGTAGTCGTAATTTAGACGTAAGCCTATTAGTCGTACATTGGTCGTAATATATTAGTCGTAAAGATGCGGTTAATGTTAGACGTACATTGGTTGTAATATATTAGTCGTAAAGATGAGGTTAACATTAGACGTACATTAGTCGTAACAAACGACAACTTTACAACCACGTTTGAAGTTCATTGGATGTAAATTAGAGACCAATTTACGACCAAAAATATTATTTTTTTATTCGAAACTTATATATTTTATTTTAAAATTTAAATTATTTTTTTTTTAAAAAAAATTGATAATTTTAAAAGAAAATATTTATAATCATCCTTCATAAACATAAAATCCATAATATCAAAAGATTTAAAATACAAATTAACTTAAACTGAAAAAAACTAATTATTAAGGTTTATTTCGTCGAAAAGTTCGGACTCAACCTGCTCCGCACGTCGTTCTAAATCCTCTTGCTCTACCGGAGTGGGGACGGGGTTAAAGGTCGGACGTAGAGTCTGCCATGCAGCGGCAACCGTCGGGTTTACGTTCGAGGTCTCCATCATCAGATCGAACAAATTTGCCATAGCCTTAAACTTGTCGTTGTGCTCGTCTATGACTCGGTTGGCAGCTGACAAATCCCTTCGGAGAGAGGATTCTTCTTCTATTCTTGCAGCGTGTGCAGCTCTTGCCCTCGGAACATCGTTCACTGTCCCGATCCCAACAATACGTCCTCTTTTCTTCGGGGCAACCTAACGAATAAATATTAAATAGTTAGTAAATATGTGAAAACTAAATAATTTTTTTTTTAAAAAGTGTATAATGAAAAGATCAAATATTTTACCTCCTCAAAAATTTTGTCTTGCTCGACGTTAGAAAGCTGGACCGGTGGACCATCCAGATTTTGTTGCGATAGCTGAGTCTGAACCTCTTCGATCCTCGCCTCAATATCGTTGTAGATCTTCTCCGCTCGAGGATGCGAAAAAGTGCCATCGTAATGTTGGTGAGTGATCTTGTAGAGTCGGGCAAGAGATGGTGGTGCTCCTTCTTTGGCATCCTACATTTAAAAAACAAATTAATTAAATTTGTGCGTTCAATAATTATATATAGTTAATAAGAATTAAGAAAGATAAAAAAACTTACAATTTGTAGTGCCCTCCCAGCATGTGGAGTCTGTCCGGAAGTATGAGGTATTGGCGGGTTGCCATCAGCATCAAGCGTCATCCGGACAACAAAGTACTTTGCAGACTTCCGTATTGACTCAGGCTTCATCCAAAAAGCCTTCAAGCCAGTCCAAACCTCATTGCTGAGGTAGCTTTCTTTGGCGTCATCCCCTTTTGCCCTCCAACTATCCTTCCAATCGCCAACAATGTTCTTGAGACGAGCCATTGCCTTTTTGTAGAACCCTGCCTTAACCTCTTCGTTGACACCGATAGACCAATTCCATTTTTGCTACAAAAAAATTTTGAATATAATTAATACGTTAATTATAATTAATCAAATTATTAATTTTTAAATAAAAGATAAATAAATTATTTTTAAAACTAATCGCAAAGCACTTGAACCAAGTAACGCGAACGTGTTCCGGCGTAAGAGTCCAATTCGGATGGGCATACCGAAAATTAGCTCTGATGATATCCCCAACGCTCTGGCCCAAAACATTGTCCGCCGCAAACGTACAAAATTTGAAATTAAAAATATATATTTATATCAATTTAATATATATATATATACATATATATATATATATATAAATAATTACCAAAACGTGTCAGGTCGTCGATATGGATCGACGATGCGTAAACCTTCTCGTCCCGGCATCCGAAGAATGTCTTCCACTGTATATCTTGCATATGGTGCCGTCGGCGGCACCATCAAATCTGGATGAACAGCTGCAGGAGCCGGAGCAGCTGCAGGTGCCGGAGCAGCCGCAGCAGCAGTAGCAGCGGGAGGAGGCGGAGGCTGATGTGGAGGTTGCGGTGGAACCTGCTGTGGAGGCTGGTGATCATACTGAGGCGGATGATCATATTGAGGTTGCTCCGGCTCATACGTAAAGTATGCATCATCATACTGTGGATAGTATGGAGCCTGAGGTTTGTATGCCGGTGGGGGAACATACGACTGAACACTAGGAATTTGGCTCTCAGGGATATTGTCTTGGCCGGATGATGTGCCGGCGGAGGTAGAAGCTGATAAGTTCGATGGCTGATCGAGAAAAGTACTCCCGTAAGAACTTCCGTTCCCAAGGTTCCGAAGTCTTCTTCTACCGCTAACCATAGATGTAATATCGTCAATCTGCAAAAAAATTTAAAATACATAGAAGGTTATAAACAATTCAAATTTATTATATAAA